GCGCGCGGGAGGGCGGAGGGAGGGGCGTGGCCGCGGGGGGCGCCCGGGTGGGAGCAGAGGTGTCGGTGGCGGGGTGGGGGGCTGAGGGGATGAGAGGGGAAGGTAAGCGGCCTGCGCTGCAGGTGTACCAGGAGAGAGGCTTGTGCAAAATGAGCGTGTGCAAAGGAAGAGCTGTGCAAGGGTCCGGGGTGTGAGGGTGTGAGGGAGGTGAGTGAGCAAGGGACGTGAGCAATAAGCACTTCTACACAAAAGCCTGAAAAGTGTGCAGGGCGTGGGGCTGTGGAAGGGATGAGTGTGGAAGGGACGGAGCCGGGTGTCTGAGAAGCACAAGCGTGTGCCTGTGAGCTGTGAGGGTGGGGAGAGCACGGGAATAGTGCTCCAGGTTTGGGCGTGTCTCTCCGGTACCCTCCTGCCCTCTCCTGCGCGGCGCCTCACCCCGCGACACGCGCACACGCTTAGCTCTTTGTTTCTGTGGGAGCCTTGACCCTGAGAGCCGGTTCCACCCGGCCCGTTCCATTTTCCCCTCCTTTACCCTTCTCTCCTCCCTGTCATCCCCTTTGCAAAGCTGAGGGAAAAGGGATTCTGGGGAAGCCCACGGGGTCAAAAAGGCTGGGAAAATTAATTACAAAAAAGTAATTAACAGAAGGCAGGGGGTAGAGCCAGAGACTGCTAAATCAAGGCTCCTCAACAGAAAGTGAGAGGGGAGGGACGGTAATGTTTTCATGAAGCATTCAGATGTTTTGGATGGACGAGTGAATGAATCAGAAAAAGGGCTGGAATTCAAGCACACAGAGCACGGCTTTTGTTCTAAAGACCTCGAGCTGCAGTGGGTCTATGTGAAAGGTGTGGCTGAGGTGAGGACTGCTGCTGTAGGAAGGAGTGTAACAAACTTACAGCCTTCCAGGAGGCTCACAAACCAACCAGCCTAGCACAGTAGCCAATCAGATATTCACCTCTCCAGCCCCTTAGCCAGCTCAGGCCTGCAGGTTCTTACTAGTTAGTGCTCCAGGTACCCGTGCCCGCAAGGGCTCAGACCTACAAGCATCAAGATGGAGAAACAAGGAGCTACCTACCAACATGTCTTGCATTTTGCCCTGAATCCTGATTTACGTTTATCTTCAAGTCTGAACTTTTACATTCTTAGCCAGATAAAGAAGACAGGGCTGAGGATGCAGCTCAGTGGTGCAGTGCTTGCCTAGTGTGAAGCTCTGAGTTCCAGAAAGAGAATGGAAGGAGTAGCAAACGTGATAATGAAATGCTTTTTTTTTGGTCTTTTTGAGACAGGGTCTCGCTATGCAGTTCAGGCTGACCTTGAGCTCACTTTGTAGCCCAGGCTGGTCTCGAACTCGCACCGATCCTCCTGCCTCAGCCTCCCGAGTGCCGGGATTACAGGCATGTGCCACTAAGCCCGGCAAAATGCTCTCCAATTTTATGGCCGGAGGTATAGCTCAGAGATGGAGTAAATGCCTAAAATGCACAAGGCCCTAGGTTTGATCTCCAGTGCCAAAAAAACATTTTAAATGACTTCATATTTTAGGCAATTTCTTATAAATGAGACTAATCCCTTACTCACACACTGCCAAAGGACTGGGAAGTACAGAATTTGGAGCCAACGAAACAAGGGAAACCAGAAAAATCTTCCTTTGTCCACCTAGGATGTCTGCGGAGAGAGTCATTTTTTTTTTAAATTTAATTTTATTTTATTTTAAAGAGTAAAAGAAGGGTAACATAATAATAGGGGGAACTTAGCAAATTACAGACAAAATGGTAGGAAATTATCAATGGTTATCGTTTTACATATTGTTATGTACAAAATAGTTTCTCAGGAAAACAAATAGACAAATAATAGTGAGTTAGAGACAAAAGAGGTAGGAGATTATCAAGAGTTGTTGTACTGTACTTTGGTATCTTCAAAGTGGCTTCTAAAGAAAATAAATAGAGCTATACATGAGTGACCTATTGAAAAATCATTAACTATTCTCAATGGTTGTTGTAGGAAACACATAATAATAAACATACTTCCATTTATGAAATAGGATAGGAACATTACAAACTTTACACAGTTATGGATAGATTAGTAGGAAAATATCAATGGCTGCTGTAGTACATGGTGGTATCTTCAAAGCGGTTTCTCAGGAAGACAGAGATATTCAAGAAGGATCTAATAAGTAGTTACAGCCTAAGGGTTGTCAAAAATAGCATATTACCTCCTCACCAGTGACTCCTTTCACTGAGGTATGACGGCTGGAAGGAAGGCCAGGATTGAAAAGAAGGACCGAGAGACTTGCACCTGTGTCTAGCAACAGGCTGTTTTCTTGTTCCTCCATAGTCATGATTACCCAGGGCTCCTCCATGGAGATGACTGTCTGGCCAGAGGGAGAAGGTAGACCATGCCCCAAGCGCTTTCATTCCTGTTGGACTAACTGGTAGCATGGGTCTGAGCTCTGGAGCCTCCACCTCAAAGGGCAGACCGATCTCCAGTGATTGGAGAGAGTCATTTAGAAACAGTTGTTTTTGGGGCTGGGGATTTAGCTCAGCGGCAAAGTGCCTGCCTGGCAAGCGCAAGGTCGTGAGTTCGGTTCCCAGTACCGGAGAAAAACCAAAAAAAAAAAGGAGTTGTTTTGGACAGAGAAAGCGACACCGGAAAAAGCAGAAAACACAAAGCCCTCCAACGAATCACAAGGGCTGCACAGGGCCACAAGTCATCCTCATAGTGTAGTGGTCTGCGGGGAATGTCTTCCCTGGGTCTGACATTACAGACACGTTATAGACTCGGACTGCTGAAAAGAACCTTTAAAATCAAGTATTCCTGTCTCTTGCTCATCACTAACTTCTCTACCTCAAGGGATCTGGTCTGTGCTTTAACACCCCAAGGAGGGTTGGAAGTGGGGAGAAGGGAAGGCATTACCTTGTCATTCTTCTGGTGGAATACTGTACTATTCTTCCTTCTGCCCTGTTTTTTTGTTTTGATTTGAGACAAGGTTTTGCTGTGTAGTTCAGGCTGGCCTTGAACTCACGATGATCCTCCTGCCTCAGCCTCCCAAGTGCTGGAACTACAGTCATGTGCGAGTGTGCCCGGCCTGTCCATGTGTTAATCCTAGTTTTGTCCTCAGATAGTTTTGTTGTTGTTGTTTGGAGACAGGGTCTTGCTATGCAGTTCAGGCTGGCCTTGAGCTCACTTTGTAGCCCAGGCTGGCCCCGAACTTGCTGTGATCCTCCTGCCTCAGCCTCCCGAGTGCTGGGACCACAGGCGTGCGCCACCACGCCCCGCTAGTCTATTGTTAACTATTATTTCAAGTAGCCTTACCACTACTTGAAAGGGCTAGTGACTGAGACACCAAAACAAAAACAAACCCCAAACTGGAAGCACTTAGTAAAATCGTTTTCAATGAATGAGTGAAACAAAGACACAAATGAGAACGCATTTTCCCATGGCGATGGAGCGGAAAGGAGACAGCATCGCCTCTAGTGCCCCTCACCCTCACCGGGATCGCTACCCCAATTCCTCAATTCCAACGTAGGGTGACTGAGAGACAAACCGAGACTGAACATGCGTTCAGGCTCAGCCTTCAGCCCGGAGTTGGCAGATGGGTGGCCCGGGTTGCTAGGACACCGCCTTGGGCTCCACCCTTCCTCGCCCCCACTTCCCCCGCTGCCCCGCCCGCGCAGCCTCGTTTAGGGTAGGCAGTCACGTGTCCCGCTGCGTAACCACACCTCTGCTCCTCCGAGCACTGTCCAGCGGTCACGTGTGATAGCAACAGATCACGTGGCTGCCAGGGTCCCTCCGCCCCGCCTCTCACGGCCCCCTCCCTGTCCAAGCCGCTCCGCCGTCTCCTCTGCGCATGGGTGGTGGTCACGTGTCCTGAACGTCCGGCGCTCGCCCCGCCCCCCCAGTTTCCGCGCGCCTCTCTGGCAGCTGGTCACATGGTGCGGGTGGGGGTGAGGGGCCCGCTCTAGCCCGCGGCCTGTGTCTATGGTCCGGCCCGCAGCGTCCAGCTGCCCCAGGCCGAGTTCTGGTGTATGGCTCCGCGGGAACCGGCTCCGAGGCCCCAGCTCTTAGCCTGGCGTGGGGTAAGTGCAGCCCCTTCCCTGGAAGGGGCACCGGTCCCCGCCCCCCACGGCTTCCCACGCGTGCGCCTCTCGGGCCGGCCCTGGAAGGGTCGCCCAAGGGCGGGAAAAGGGGCCTTTGTGGTCGTGGGAGGTGTCATTTCAGAGCCCGGCGTGGAAACTTCGACGTAGGTCGGCTGTTATGGGCGATCGCCTTTGTGTGGGTTGCAGTGATCCCTAAGGAAAAAAGCCCTTTTTCTGCTAGAACTTAATGTAGCCGGGGTGGGTGGGGAGTGGAGACCTGTGCGCCCCGGGGGCGCATCCTCTTGGGAGTGGAGCGGGGAGCTCGCGACGGGGTCTTGGCGCTGCTTTCTGCGGGAGTCACTGCCGCTGCAGCCTCGTACCGCTCCCGCTCTGGAAGGAACTTCGTGGGGGACACGGCTCTGTGATCGTAGGGTCGGCCCTGATCCGAGAATGGCTACCTCTCGCTATGAGCCAGTGGCTGAGATCGGCGTTGGTGCCTATGGGACCGTGTACAAGGCCCGTGACCCCCACAGCGGCCACTTCGTGGCCCTCAAGAGCGTGAGAGTGCCCAATGGAGGAGGAGCTGGAGGCGGCCTGCCCATCAGCACAGTGCGAGAGGTGGCCCTGCTTCGGCGGCTGGAGGCGTTCGAGCATCCCAACGTGGTCCGGTGAGAAGGCGGCGGAGGGCCAGCCGTGGGGGACCGGGGGAAGAGAGCGCGTAAGTGGGCGGTGTGCTCGGGACAGAGGCGGGCCCCTCCCCTGAGGAAGTGAGTGCAGGACACCATGTTGGATCAGAAGGGATTGACGGGATGACCATTCATTCCGACCAGGCTGATGGACGTCTGTGCCACTTCCCGAACCGACCGGGAGATCAAGGTGACCCTAGTGTTTGAGCATGTAGACCAGGACCTCAGGACGTACCTGGACAAGGCACCACCACCAGGCTTGCCAATCGAGACCATCAAGGTAGGCGGGGCGGATGGGACCTTTGTGGTATAACTTGGGATGATTGGCATAGTGCTGTTTCCCCTTAAGTCTGTACCTCTCCCTCCCGAACCAGGATCTGATGCGCCAGTTTCTAAGAGGCCTAGATTTTCTTCACGCCAACTGCATCGTTCACCGAGACCTGAAACCAGAGAACATTCTGGTGACAAGTGGTGGGACAGTCAAGCTGGCGGACTTTGGCCTTGCCAGAATTTACAGCTACCAGATGGCCCTTACACCAGTGGTCAGTGAAAAGATGGTAGCTCTGGTTGGGGGTGGGAGGTGGATTGTCCATAATGGTTGAGAGGTCCTGTTCTACGTTCTCAGTTAAGTAGTTGGGATTCGTAGGAGCTAGGATGGCCCTCACCTACCCTTTACTACTCCCGCTAGGTGGTCACGCTCTGGTACCGGGCCCCCGAAGTTCTTCTGCAGTCTACATATGCAACACCGGTGGACATGTGGAGTGTCGGCTGCATCTTTGCAGAGATGTTTCGTCGCAAGTACGTACGGGACCCAAAACCTTAAACCATCTTGAGTTCCCCAAATCTCTACTTATGAGCTGCATCCATACCCTGCCCATGCTTTACTTGGGTATGGCCCACCGTGGTGCCCGCAGCCAGAAGCTCTGAAATGTGGAATTACAAAGGTCTCTACTCCTATTTTGGAAAATAACGGCTACCTTGTATCGTTTCTCTCCTTAGACCTCTTTTCTGCGGGAACTCTGAAGCTGACCAGTTGGGCAAAATCTTTGAGTAAGTGCCCAAGGGGGAGGGAAGGCCTCTTCCATTGGGAGTCCTGTCTCTGCTTGAGTCTGTCCCTGGGGGTGGGAGCGGGAGGACCCCACTGATGGGAGTGCACCTGTCCGTGTCACAGCTTGATCGGGCTGCCTCCAGAGGACGACTGGCCGCGCGATGTGTCTTTACCCCGAGGAGCCTTTTCTCCTAGAGGGCCTCGCCCAGTGCAGTCGGTGGTGCCTGAGATGGAGGAGTCTGGAGCACAACTGCTGCTGGTACGAGGCGGGGGGCTGGGGTGGGAAATGGAGTGAGCAGCACAGAAGGGCCCAGACCACTGGTTCACCAGGCCGGTTTGGTGGAGGGCTGCAGTTTACATTGCTGCGTGAACGACCCCATGAAGGGTGAGGTGGAAACAGCCCTGCCCAGGTGTGGTCCATGTGGGCAGCAGGCTTCTCCCCCCCGCGGTTTTCTGACCTTCGCCTCTCTTCCCAGGAAATGCTGACGTTCAACCCGCACAAGCGCATCTCTGCCTTCCGAGCCCTGCAGCACTCTTACCTCCGGAAGGAGGAAGGTGACCCAGAGTGAGCAGTGCAGTGGCTGCCACAGAAGGGAGGGGTGCTGCCGTCTCCCTTCCGGACACTTGAGTGGAGCGAGTCCCCACTGAAGAGGAGAGCTCCGCCGTCGTCTCTGAGGCTGTGGTGCTCCTGCGATTTTTTACAGAGAATATTTTGTTGCCTTAATGACATTCCCCACCCACCCTCCTTTTGAGGCTTATCCTTCTCCGTGCCCCATTTCTCTACACTAAGGGGTATATCTCTTCCCCCACCTTACCTTGATGCTGGTCCTTTTTTATACAGGAAAACAAAACAAGACAAAGAAATGCGGTCTTTTTTCTTTTTTTTAATGTTTCTTTCTCTGATTGGCTTTGCCACTGGGAGACTGGAAAAACCACTGAAAAGGAAGAACTCCTCTGCAGAACCTGAAACTCTTCCTGAGTTACACAGGGCCTAGGCAGCCAGTGGCGCTCCTTGACTGGCAAAGAAAAAGGAATTTAAGGTGCTTCTTTGATTATGGAGCTAAAATGAGATTTATTTTTATATTCACTTCCTCAGACTGGGTCCCACACATTTAAGAGTTCTTCGTAGTTTTCTGGGCTTTGTTCCTGACTGATCCTTGGAAGCCAGGCCAGGTGTGTTGAGGCGGTCCAGCATGTAGAAGAGGGGAAACAGCTATAAATGACTCCAGGCCTGATCCGTGCACTCCCACAAGCTGTCCATATCCACACGGGAGAGAAAGATGAAGTTGTTGTTACTATGCCCTATGATATTACTCCCATCAAAATATGTCAAGGCCTAGTCAGTTTTAGAGTGGCAGAGGATCTGTCCTTCTTCTGAAAGGATACAGACTCCAGGTTTTCGTTATGGGAGAAGTAAAAAGCTGAGGGAGACAGCAGGAAAGAAGTCCAAAGGATCCAGAGTCTCATAGGAAGGCACTGGGGTTGGCTCGGGGATCCTTCTGATTCCGAAATCTCATTGCTAGCCAAACGCCAAGGATCTACAGAACAAAGGGACAGAGAGCGCAAATCAATTTTGAATCTGGGAGGGAGGCTTGGCCAAGGGTGCGCATGTGCGAGCTGGGGAACGTTACCTCTGTAAAGCTAAAGAAGAGTCCCACGCCCCCTAGGATTTTCAGAGCTTTATCTGAATGCTTCAGAAACTTTTCTCCACACATCTGGCACGTGGAGCTCCTGTTCTTGCAGAGCTGAGGAGAAGTGTATAAAAAGTGCAAAGTTGTTAACTTGTCCTGTGCAGATCATATCTGATTATATAAGATACATTTTTTTGGTACTGGGAATCGAACTCACGACCTCAGACTTGCCAGGCAAGTGCCTATGCCGCTGAGGTGTATCCCTGGCTCCTGTGCAGATCATTAAGGTGAAGGACCCTTAAAGTTACTCATTAGTATCTGACCAGTATCCCATAGAGTGAAATCTCACTTGGTCAAATCCCCATTCTCTGTATCCTTGCTTCCACCAACAATATTGGCAGAAGAGAGCTGCCAGAGAGAGTTAAATCTGCCAATTCGGACACTGTCCTTAGAGTTCTCATCTTTCTGTGTGCCTCGTCCCCGCGCCCTCAAAACTCACTGCATCGCAGGAAGCATCGTCTTGATACTGGGTTGTAAAGTTGAACAAACCGCAGCAGTCAAAACTTCTTTCCAGCTCATGCCGGGTTTCGTTGTGCATGACCCGCCAAGAGGCGTTAATGAAATCTGTCTGCAGGACACAGGCAAGGAAAGGGAAGTTAATCTTCCTACATCCTCATCTCCGTTCAAGTACGCGTCCCCATGAGAGCAAAGAGTCTTTCAGCCTTTCTCAGAAACACGGTATGTTGCTATTATACGCAGTGGTAAATGCGGTCTCAGCTTCTCTAGACCATCCTCATGAGGAATTATCCATGCGTCCCAGAGGAAGCAAATGGCTCAAGTCTGGAGTGGACTTCGGGGTGGTTAGGACCAGAGGAAGGGAACTGGGCAGGAGTGGGGTGGGGTGGGGCAGGGACAACTGTCAAGTAGTTGAAAGGGCATCCCCTTACCTGCTTGCTGCGGTTAATAGCCAGGCATGAGCAAGAGATTCCAAACTGGAAGATGAAGACCAGACCAAGGATGATCATGTACTGAGCAGAAGCGTCACGGAAAAAAATACCTAGACTCTTTCATGCTCCATTTAAATAACGGGTCTCATTCATAGGAATTACACAACCACAAGTTGAGGACAAAACCATTAGCCTTGTTTGTGGACCGGGATGTGGGGCAGAGCAGTGAGACATGTCCCCGAGACCTTTAGGCCTCTACCCTAAATCCCTAGTCAGCTCAGCCCTCCCAAGAACCCCAGTGCCGTCCCTCCAGGTCAGGATACGAAGAACAGCAGGACTTGGTGGTGGTTGACAGCACCCACCAGTCCCGCCACTGCGATAAGGAGCAGGAAAACTCCTACAGCAATGACGCCTCCAATGATGTGGATGCTGGACACCAGGCCCAGGCCCTTGCCCCAGGCAGCCACGCCAACCAGTAGCAAGCCCACCAGCTACAGGAGACAAACAGGTTACATCTCAAAAGAACCCTAGCATGCAGCACCACCACGGGCTAATACAAAGGAACGCGAGCAAAACAGGACAGTCGAGCTGGGTGTAAATGGGGGGTGCGATCAGAACTAGAAATATCCCCGGACGGTCTTCTCAAAGGAGGTCGCAAAGGCTGGGATGGGAGGGAGCAGGGTCAACAGTCTCGAAACAGACAGTCGGAGCCGTCAGCCCCGTCCATCGCTTCTATGTGGGGAAGAAATTGGCTCACGGAAGTGAGGGATGAGATTTTGTGCCCACAGCCCCCACCCCCAGACAAGCCCCTTCATCACCGGAAGTCTTCCTGCTTGCACGGAAGTCCCTAGGAATCCCCTCGTCGCCGGAAGTGCCTGGGAATCTTCCCGGAACCCCCAGTGCACCCCTCTCCCTGCCGGAAGTCCCCTGGAGATTCTCGCCACAGCCTTTCCACCCTGGCGCTTCCCCCACCTCCCAAACCTCACCATATAGACCACGTTGAGAGCGCACAGCGCATTCTTGGAGCAGGCAAAGCCACCACAAACCATCTCCCCAGCTCGGGGGACCCAAGTGGTCCCAAGGACTTGGGGGGAGGTATTGGGGACCGTCTCCTAAGACCTCCACAGCTTCTGTCTCTTTAAATCAAGGCCAGCCAAAGCAAGTGTCGGCCACCGACCCACCCCTGCTAAGGGATTGGCGAAGCTCGCGGCCAATGCAGGACGTCAGTGGCTTGAATGCCAGTCACTCTGGTTACGTCACCAGCCCGCCTCTCGGCCCCTCCCTTACTTTCTTCATTGGATGAAATTTAAACCTGGGGGTAGGGTTTCTAGACGTTCTCAGACCGCCCAGAGCCTTAACTTTAGAAGCCCGGATTGAAAACGCGAGCTTCCTGTGATCGGAGTTAAGAGGCCGCTGGTCGAGGAGGCCAAGGCGAAATTCAGGTGCCGAAGTCAGCGCTTGGGAGGCTGACGCCAGAGGCTCGCAGTTCAAGCCCGGCCCGGGCAGTTCAGCGAGCCCACCCCCGCCCCCTGTCAAAGAATAAAGGCTGGGGATGGAGTCAGAGGGTCTTCCAGAGCTGGACGGAAAGGGCTCCGCCCCTAGAAGGAGGGCTCTTCCCCGCCTCTTCCCCTTGTCCCGCGGTGACCTCATGATGACGATGACGCCATCCCCTGGTTGTTATTGTGTCACACTTGGGACTATCCAAAAGGAGCCCAATTTTGAGCTCTAGCCCGACCACAGAGGCTCTTCACGTTTGTGTGGCCACCAGGACAGGTGTTCTGTTCCCGAGCTCTTTGCGCCAGAAATTCAGGGTGGAATACAGCAGCCGCCGGCTGCCACAGTCTTTGTGACAAAGCCACAGGTGTGCTCAGCATCTTCAGAGCACATGCCTGACCCCTAGCTTGCAAAAGCTGACCCAGAGGGAGCAATCTGAGGTATAAACACAAGGGGGAGGAAGAGTCGCCACATTTTCACTCCGGAGGTGGGCATGGTGGTTGCTCAATACTGTAACTTCACTCTTGCACAAGTGCTTTCACAGTCTGCCCTTTTCATGAGAAAGGGCAAAGGGGTAATCCCTGTCTCTCCTAGGAGAAAGAGGCAGTCTTAGTGCAGCAACAACCACAAAAAACCCTTCACCAACCTCATAGAATGATTCAGTTGTGTGTACTTAGATTCTATGGCTGCCTAAGCAGTATAGTCTTACTGCTATAATCAGACTACTTAGTGTTCAGCTTTGCCCCCTACTAGCTGCAAACTCTCTGGGCCTATTTCATCTGTAAAGTGGGGACATGTAGTATACTTATCTCTAGCCTTTTTTTTTTTTTTTTTTTTTGTCTTTCTGAGACAGAGTCTCACTATGCAGTTCAGGCTGGCCTTGAGCTCACTTTGTAGCCCAGGCTGGTCTCAAACTCACAACAATCCTCCTGCCTCAGCCTCCCGAGTGCTGGGACTACAGGCGTGCGCCACCACTCCGGGCTCATACACCTCTTAACAACTTCTGGATTGTTATGAGGAATAAATGAGTTAGCATGAGCCAGGCATGATAGCACACGCCTGTAATTCCAGCACTTGGGAGGCTGAGGCAGGAGGATTGCTGTGAGTCTGAGGCCAGCCTTGGCTACAAAGTGAGTTCAAGACCAGCCTGAACTGCATGGTGAGACCCTGTCTCAAAACAAAGCACTACCTGGCTCATAGGAATATTCAGTGTTGCTACTGTTGAGGCTATCTTACAGATTTGTGTCTAATCCCAGCCTCATCTCCTTATCTCCCCACTACACAAATATTCACATATTTATAGTCTCCTGTCCTTCATACATTACTATCAAAATAGCCAGGAGAAGAGAAATTTGGCAGGGCCAGAGAGGTTCAGGCCTTGAAACAATTAAGTCAAGCTACAACTAACCCCCGCCCCACTCCCAGCCAACTCTCCTCCTCGGTGTCCATTTTCTCCTTCCGCGACTACTTTCTTTGCTTTCAGGTCCCACATTAAGAGCAAGACAATGGATTAGGGAGAAGGAGAACTGCGTAGCAAGCATCTTGCTTGTGTGTTTGCTGAAAGAGGTATTAAAATTGTAATTGGGGGACTGGGCTCAGTAGATTCTAGTAGATTCTAGCTCAGTAGCATAAGTGCCTGCCTGGCAAGCATGAGGTCGTGAGTTCAATCCCCAATACCGCAAAAAAAAAAAAAAATTGTAATTGGGCTATGTAGTGACTTCAACGCTAGCCTGAACTACATAGTGAGGCCCTGTCTCAAACAAACCAAAAATACATAAAACATTTAGACCTAGATCTGTATCTTTGTCTCACCAGTTATTGGCCTCTCTGTACCTCAATTTCCTTTCCTTCATAATGGGCATAAATAATTCCACCCCCTTGGGCCTGTCACAAGGGTAATATATACAGGCATATATTGTAAACTACTAAATGTTATACACATGCTAATTATTATAAAAGCAGTGAACATACAGCATGGTAGTTTTATGTGGTTATAGGTTACTTTCCTTCTCTATAACTCATTCTCCCTGAAACTAAAGGGGCCTTTTTTGTTTGTTTTGGTACCAGGAATCCAACTCAGGACCTCATGCTTGCAAGGAAGGCGCTTGTGCCGCTGAGCTATATCCCCAGCCCATGAAGGGGCCTTTTAAACAGGAAGTGGCTGCAGTGGACAGTTAAGGGAGGGCAACAATGCAAGATAGAAGCATGCAGCGCTCGGTGGTATATGTAGAGTTGTGAAGACAGCTGTCCCCTACAATTCAGGGCTGGGAGGTAGCAGATCACGTGTGTGGATTCTTATGTGTTTGACACAATGCACATCTGCAGATCTCCCAAGAGTTTTGGATTGTCTGTGAGACCTGGCTTGACACATTCTCCCAGAACCAACACCCACTTTAATTAGCTGCCTCCCACAGGAGGCCGTGGGACCTTGTTAAGGTCTCTTCCTCCACCTGCCTGGGGACATCATAGCAGGGCCTGGCTGACAGGGCAGGTAGGCCAACGCTAGAGGGGGTAGGAGGTGCAGAAGGTAGTTCTGTCCCAGGCTGTGGGTTTGAAACTCACCAGTCAGGAAGTGAGGCTGCCAGACGGAAGGGCGGGCTGCGGCGGAGAGTTCTGGAGAGTAGAGTTCTGGGGAAGAGCAGAAGGGCCTCTGGGGCTTGGGGTCTGTGGGGCCATGGGCTTCAAGGCCAGAGGTCGCTGTTAGTCTGGCAGGACAGGTCTGGGCAACATGCACGCCCAGAGGCAGTTAGCTGTAGCCACGGTGAGAGCAGAAATCCGACGCCATGAGGTGGCCAAGCAGGCTCTAAGCCGCCTCAGGAAGCTGGCAGAAAGAGTGAGTGACCCTGACCTCCGGGACAGCATCCAGGCCTCCCTGGGCACCATACGAGGTAAGAGAAGGCTCAGCCCCCAACTTGGATGTACCGGGGACCAGCAGGGGCACAGATGGGCTAGCTGTGTCCGGTGTCATTTCTTAGATACTTGCTAGTCCTCAAGATGGAGCTGGGACTCTGAGGAAAAATACATTTAGGGAGGATGGAAAATGACATGAGAGGTATTATTTTTTCCCCCCAACTCTGATCCTTCTCCCAGGAAAACAAAATGCAGGCCACTGTTTCGCTGACCTTCTTGGCAGTGAAGCGGGTGAGCGTGGGGAAGACGGGCTGTGACACCCAGGCAGACGTCGTCCAGCCTGGAGAGTCCCGAACAGGAAGCAGTCTGGGGCGGGAGGTTCTGGGACTGGATAATGTGTCCATTCCCAGGCCCCACTGAGGATCAGTGACCTCTTGTTCTCTAGATATAGAAAGAAACAGAGAGAGATAGATAGAGAGAGACAGAGAGAGACAGAGGCAGAGAGAGGGAGGGAGGGAGAGACCATGCGGAGAATCTCAGGCTCCCAGGTGCACACTAGCATTTAAACATGCTCTGCACAACCCAAGCACAGAGCGGTTAGAACCCTCCGCAGTCTCCTCTCCTCCCCATGTTCATGTTCCTGTCTTCCCCCCCACACACCTTCCGCTCTACCTCCTTAGTGCCATTAGAGCAAGTGATGACAACACAGGGAGGAAGTGCTGCCATGGCAACACCATCCGCCACATCCTCCTGCCCACCCCGGTCTTCAGGGCTGTGGTGGGGCCCTGGCAAGAATAGCGTCTCTGCATCCACAAGGCCTACCGCTAAGGAGCTGGTGGAACTGGATGTCCCTTCCAGCTTGCTCTCACTGTGTTCCCCTCTGAGATACCAAAGAACTCGCAAAGGCAGGCCTCGGCGCTCGCGGAGGGCATCTGGTAAAAGCACATCCTCCAGCGAACGGATCCTGAGCTCTTCCCACCACTTCAGTCTTCTCCTTTCTTTGCTGCCTAAGGGGAAGGGGGTGAGGGTGGGAGGAGGGCCTCCCTGATGGGAGAGGCCGCCTCTGCTCGTTGCCCTTCTGAGCACCGTGTCAGCTCCTCTCCCACAGTCTTTGATGGGACCTACACCTGCCATCTTCCCTGACAGCCTTAGCTGGAAAGGCAGGTCTAGAGAGAGGAGAGAGAGAGAGGGAGAGGGAGGAAGACTGCTTAGGCCAGGTAAAGAATCTCCCCTTACAAGTGCATGATGCATGCCTGTAATTCCAGCACTCGGGAGGCTGAAGCAGGAGGATTACCTGGAGTCTAAGGCCAGCCTGGATTACACAGAGAGACTCTATCCAAAAAAAAAAAAACTCCCTTTTTTCAGGGGAGAAAACAGCAGGGAGCTGTGGAAAAGTAGTAGGTGAGGTGGGTAGAGTCTGAGAAGACCCCAGTTTTTTTTTTCTTTTGTGGAGCTGGGGATGGAACCAGGGTTCCAGGGCCTCCTACATGGGAGGTAAGTGCTGCCCTCTGAACTATACCCCCAGCCCAAGATTCTCTTCTTCATAAGTGATTTGTTCTACACCTTCCCGAAGAGTCAGGATTCTGTTCCCATTGAACATCAAGGAAAACAAGCCATCAAAGGAAGGAAGACTAAGGCAGAGCCAACAGTTCTTCACAACGTCCTTCAAAAGACACTAGTGAAGGGTCTCCTGTCCTTTACTGGGGTCATCCTGGTTCTGCAGGAAGTCGGGGAGAAGCTGCCTCGACCTCCAAAACAGGACCTGGGAGGGCTTGGGCACAGGCCTTTGGGAGAACAAAGGGCACCCAGCATTCTGGCTCAGCCCCCCTACCCGCACCCCCCACCCGCACCCCCCACCAGGCCAAGCAAGCTGAGGGCTCTTGCCTCCAAGTGCCGCCCACGGTAGCACTTATTATAGTCTGGCTGCGTCAGGAGGGTGGGACGACAAATCAAGGGACAGGGAGGACTCTCCAAATCCCGGGGAGGGGTCTGCAAAGCTGCAGGAGACCTCCTTCCACCCAGCCCACCCTACCCCATGGGGGGTCAGCCTCTCCTCTCTGCCTGCCCTGCCGTCTTAGGCTTCTCAGTGAGGCTGGAGAACAGAGGGCCTTGAACTCCCAGGCCCCTCTGAGGGGTGGGCAACACAGCCACACAGAGCAAGCGGGGTCCATGGGTGGTGCTTACCTCCTCTTTAACCTTCTAAAAGCGCCGCCCCATAAACCTCAGGAGACTGAAGGGAACCCAGAAGAGGCCCGCTGCTGCTGCCTCGGCTGAGGGGGTCCTTATATTGGGGAGCGAAATAGCCCACAAGTGGGTAACCAGGTGTGAGGGTGGTGCCTTCACTAGCCCAACATCCCCTGGCAGGCCCCCACCCACTGTACACACAATCCGTCCTCTCTGCTTCTCCCTGCTGCTTCTGAGGCGCTCTTGGAGCTCCGGTTGCTATGGAGACTGGATGCATTTTGGTATGGGGGGGTGGCGATTGGTAGATGTAGTTTTTCTCCCTCTTCGTTAAACTGGGGCCTTGGTCTCACCCGGAAGGCTAGGCTCCTGAGCCCTCATATCCCCCTCCCCCCGCAGGCAACCCCCCCCATTCCCCCGCTAAGTTTCATGTTTGTCCCCTTCCCTGGGGAATGCTTCCCAAGTTCACTTTGGGACAGTCGGCCAAGTCAGGGCCCCACCAAAGCCCTAAATGTGGCGGTGGAGGGGACAGGCAGCTGGGTGGTGAGAAAATGAACGCACCCAGGTACAGAGGGGAGAGGAGTCCTGGGAAAAGGATTTCAGGGTTCCCTACTTTCCCACTTCAGCTCCCCTAGAATTGGCAGTGACCCCCACTTTGGTCCGTTTCTGGCGACTGTCCACCCAGTAGATCGACTTTTACTTTTGCCCCTAAACACCACGCCCCCTCAGCCGCTCCCTCACCTGGCTGGTGCGGGGAAGGGGCTCGGCTGTTGGCGGAGGTGAGTCCGAGTCCCAGGAAATCCAGCCCAGGATTTGGGAGGGAAATCCAGTCCTGGATTTTGTACCGCCCTCGCAGACAGCGGTGCTGGTGGAGAGGTGGGGGGAGATGGGGTGGGGGGGCCGGGGGCCGCCTCCTCCTCAATGTGAGGGGAGCGCCCGGACACAGCGCGCATCCGGACCCAGCCGAGCCCGGGCGAGGCCCCGGGACTCTCCGCCGAGATCTCACGCCCCTCCCCTCCTAGACCCCAGACCCGTGCGTTCCCACCCCCTCCCGCTCCCGCCTTCCTCCCCCGCCGCCTCCTGACTCTCCATCCCCAGCATCCTCCCCGCTCCCCTGCGAATCCTCCCCACGGCCAGCCCCGCTAGCTTCCCACCCTCAAGACCCCCTCTCCCGCCGCATCCGCGCCCCTGTCCCTTGAGTCCCGGCTCCCCACCCCTGCCTCTCCCGCACCGGTTCTTCTCCCCCAGCCTCCGGGCCCCTTTTCTGCCTCTTCCTCCGTCTCCCTCGTTTGCCCCCCACTACTGTCCTCCCCGCCCTCCTCCGCCCATCTCGGCGCCCCCACCCAGGCCGGGGTGCACGGTCCGGCGCGCCTCCCTGGAGCAGCACCAAGGTCCCGGGGCTCCAAGGGGGTGGGGGCGCAGGGCGGGGAGCATGGGGAGGGGGCGCCCCATGTGATGGGAGGGGGGCGCAAGCGGAGGCGGCGGAGGCGGCGGCGACAGCGGAGCCGGGCCGGAGGCTCGGGGGGTCCGGGGGCTGGGGGCAGCGAGCAGGGCGGTTCCATGGCCGGGCCCCCCTGAGGCAGTCCGGGGGAGTCCCCTCCCCTCCCCAGCTCGGGGCTCTCCGGGCCCCATGAGCCGGGGCGCGGGCGCGCTTCAGCGCCGGACAACGACCTACCTCATCTCGCTGACCCTGGTCAAGCTCGAGTCGGTCCCTCCGCCGCCACCTTCTCCGTCTGCAGTCGCGGCCGGCGCCCCCGGGGCCCGAAGCACCGAGCCTGGGGATCCGGGCAGTCCCCGCGGCGCGGAGGAGCCGGGCAAGAAGCGGCACGAGCGCCTCTTCCACCGGCAGGATGCGCTGTGGATCAGCACCAGCAGCGCGGGCGCGGGGGGCGCGGAGCCCCCGGCCCTGTCCCCCGCTCCGGCCAGCCCAGCCCGCCCCGTGTCCCCTGCTCCCGGCCGCCGCCTGTCCCTCTGGGCCGCCCCTCCCGGACCCCCGCTCTCCGGGGGGCTGAGCCCGGACCCCAAGCCGGGGGGCGCCCCCACCTCCTCCCGGCGCCCTCTACTCAGCAGCCCCAGCTGGGGGGGCCCGGAGCCCGAAGGCCGGCTGGGCGGCGGTGTCCCCGGCTCGTCCTCTCCGCACCCGGGCACCGGCAGCCGGAGACTCAAGGTGGCGCCGCCTCCGCCGGCTCCCAAGCCCTGCAAGACCGTGACCACGAGTGGAGCCAAAGCTGGCGGGGGCAAGGGCGCCGGCAGCCGCCTGTCATGGCCCGAAAGCGAGGGCAAGCCCAGGGTCAAGGGGTCAAAGAGCAGCGCCGGGACTGGAGCTTCTGCCGCCGCCGGGGGAGGGGGTGCTGCAGCCGCGACCTCTGCTGGGGTCGGGGCTGGCGCTGGAGCCCGAGGGAAGCTGTCCCCTCGGAAAGGCAAGAGTAAGACCTTGGACAACAGTGACTTGCACCCGGGACCGCCTGCCGGCTCTCCTCCTCCGCTAACCGTCGCAGCCACCCCGACTCCAGCCGCTGCTGTCAGCGTCGCCGCCGCCTCCGCGCAGCCCCCCGGGCCTGCACCTCCAATCACTCTGGAGCCTCCAGCTCCGGGTCTGAAACGGGGCCGGGAGGGGGGCCGAGCATCCACTCGCGACCGCAAGATGCTCAAGTTTATCAGCGGTATCTTCACCAAGAGCACAGGGGGGCCGCCTGGCTCCGGGCCCCCTCCCGGACCCCCAGGCCTGTCTTCTGGCAGCGGGTCCAGGGAGCTGCTGGGCGCAGAGCTCCGCGCCTCCCCTAGTGAGTAGGGTCAGGGCCCGGTAGAGGGGACGGGAGGGCGCCTGGGACGCCGGGGGTTGCGGCGTGTGGGAAACTGGGAAGGCTCTTCGTGGGGTGGGCGGATGAGCCAGGCTCGCCGCTCTGCCAAGGCCCGAGGCCAGGAATACGGGGCTTGCAGGGGTGAGCTGCTGCACTGTGCTATGCGCGGGGCGACTTGATTTCGGAGGGACTCGAGCCTGAGTTTTCCGGGGAGTGATGCCCTTGGGCAGGGCCACCTAGGCAGCTGCGCTCGGGGAGGTCTAGAGGGACGCGGAAGGTGCAGGGGGCGCGAAGCCTCAGTTTCCCCTGAGCACCTGGGGCAGGTGGCGTGACAGTGACCTTGCAGGCGGCTCCTCGCCAGGGGCAGGTCTCCTCCGGGTTGGGAGCAGGTTGGAAGCGGGCTCGTGGCGTTCTCCCTGCGCCGGCGGCAGGGGATTGGGCGGCCCGCGGGTGTGCGGGGCCGGGACGTGCTGAATATTTAAATGCGGAGCGAGAGGGGCGGAGGGGAAGCCTCGCGGCCCCCGCGGCCGCCCGCGCCCCGCAGCGGAGTCCACACCCGCGGGGCTGACCCCGAGTGAGTCGGGGGGCGGGACTGCTGCAAAGACAATTCTTACCCCGGGAGAGCTGGGGGGCGGTCCGGCGACGGTAGCGTTTTACTTATTTATTTCCCAGGGGTGTCTTTATTGCTATTTTCTAACCGGGGGAGACAGGCGGGGACTGGGAGGGAGGCGGCTTTGGCAGCGGGGGCGGCCCCCGGGGCTTGGCTCCGGAGCGGGCGGGAGCAGATGGCTCCGGATCCCAGCGTTCCCGCCGCAGCTGCGGCGCCCCGGGAACGTCCGGCAGTGGGGGCTGCACCCGGCCTGCGGAAGGAGCCTCCTTCCCCACAGGCCCGCAGCTTCCCCGGGCCCTGCCTCGCCGTTCTCTCGGAGGAGCTTTGGGAAGGCTGTGGAAGCGGGAAGCGAAGGAACACCCCTTGGGGTGTGGAGAGGAGCCAGGGCCTCCCCGACACTGACCTTGAAAGGGGGAGGGAAAGCCCGCACCTCAGTTTCTCCACAGTGACGTGGAGGCTGAGGAAGACCCACTCCTCCTGTCTCAGTACTTCCAGTCCGGCCCTGGGAACCTGGGGTCCGGGAGGAGCCCCTCTCCTCCTTCCAGAGGGAAGAACCCACCGCTGTTAGAACACTACTTTCTCAGTCTGGAGCAAGGACCCACGTTTGGGGATGTGCTTTAAGGAAGATGCCAACTGAAGTATTTTTGTCTTGCTGGCTCTGTTGCTAGGCAACCGCTGAGCGGCAGCAACAGCTGTGGGGAGAGCGGCTGGGATGGGAGGACCAGGGACCACTCAGACCTATCTGTTTCACACACCTCTCTGTGAAGGCGGGGTCCTCGGGGTTCAGGGAGCTGCAAAGAAAGGCTGAGGCTGAGGGTCTGCAGTCCTCCTGCACGGGAGCCCGCCCTCTTACTGCCCCTCTCCGTTGCAGAGGCTGTGGTCAATAGCCAGGAATGGACTTTGAGCCGCTCCATTCCTGAACTGCGCCTGGTAGGTAACCCAGGCCCGCTGTGCACTGCTTTAACTTCTCTGGCTCTTCTGTGAGAGCAGCGCTAGTTTCCGGTTCTCTTGCACCGTTGCGGGGCTCCACACATCTGTACAACTTTTCCTGCTCCAGTCCTTACGCTCTTTTCCCTGCCCGTACAGTGCTGTCTTCCAAGCCTCTCATTTTTGGCTTCTGGCCTTTGCCCCTTCGTGTTCTCTTGCCTAGAATAGGGTCTGTCTGTCTCTGTCTCTCTCTCTCTCTCTCACACACACACACACACACACATTTCCTAAACAACACAAGAAAGCTGGTCCTGAGCTGCTGACATTCTTCACCTCGCGGTCCACTTGAAGCTCAGGCTCATTTCTTACCACGCTGCTACCCAGTTGCTTTGGCCTGACTGCCTGTCATCCAGGCCCTATAGGACCCGCTTGGGTGGATGAACACTGCCAGTCCCTTTGGGTGCTCTGACTTGCGCAGATCCAAGCATCTGTCTCCTTCTTCATTTTACCTCTGCTCCTCAACCTTGCTTTCAGGGTGTTCTGGGTGACACCAGGAGTGGGAAGTCATCACTCATCCACCGATTCCTGACTGGCTCATACCAGGTGCTGGAGAAGACCGAGAGTGAGTTCTCCGGAGCCCAGTGAGCTAAGGACTGGGGTTGGGGGCCGTAAGGCCAGTGACTGGGCAGGTATGGAGACGAGGGGGAAGGATGAAGCCGAACTAGGTAGAGTTCAGGGAAAAGTTGGGTGACCTGTCACCTCTGAGCTGTGTATCCTCAACTGTTCCGGACAGGTGAGCAGTACAAGAAGGAGATGTTGGTAGACGGACAGACTCATCTGGTGCTGATCCGAGAGGAAGCTGGGGCCCCCGACGCCAAGGTGAGGGGTGGAGGAGGTGGGCTGGGTAGGCTGACCGGGGTTGGTACTGGACCAGGGAGGGGGCCCTGGCTTCCAGGTCTCCCTTGCATAATGTTCAGAGAAATGGACCTGTCTGATGCTCCATGTGCCTTCCCGCCCCCCGCAAGTTCTCAGGCTGGGCAGATGCTGTGATCCTCGTCTTCAGCCTGGAGGATGAGAACAGTTTCCAGGCTGTAAGCCGTCTCCATGGGCAGCTGAGCTCCCTTCGCGGGGAGGGGCGAGGAGGCCTGGCCCTGGCGCTGGTGGGGACACAAGGTGAGGAGGGATTGCGGAAGCACTGCTTTCAGGGGAGCCCGGCTGCCTCTTGGGTATTGCTCAACATGAGCGTGAACTTGGTAAGGTGTGAAAAGGGCTCCTTGGATTTCAGTAACCTTCTATAGAGAGCTGATCTCCAGATAAGGTAGTCACAAAACCAAACACAGACTTCCCAAGGTCCAAGCGGAGAAGAGGGACTGCCAAGGAGGAAAGGACAGTCACCATAGCCATCTCCTCTCCTCTCCTGAGATGTCACCTGCCTTGTATTCCCACGCTGTCATTTCCTGATGGAACCACAAGACACACAGAAAATCTTACATAGTATGGAAAGGAATCTTTCCATTTCCCGCTTCCTACAGCTGGGTTAGGCTGGTACCTTTAAGAAGAACTTAATCCGAAAACAAAGGAGATGCTGGAGAAAGCCAGAGTGCAGGAAACCTTTTAGTTCTCAGAGAAGTGACTTAGAAGCTGAGAGACTCTCCACCACAGCAGGAAGAGCTCTTCTTTCCGGTGCTACCTGAGTCAGGCCGCCAGAACTTTCTGTGTGGATGCTTGTGCTGCAGGTGCTGGCCTCCATCTGGTAGTTACGGCCTGTTTCTACTGCAGAGTGAACGGTCCACCTGTTACCATGGGCATCCGGCCTCCTCCGGTGCACATGCCTGGTGTCCTCTCAGGGGAGGGGTCCACTGGGGTGCAGGGCACAGGGATTCTTCCTTGTGAGTCTCAGCCACTTCAAACCTCATCAACAAGCTCCACTCACTTCTGGTTTTATTTTATTTTATTTTTTGTCTTTTTGAGACAGGAACTAGCCATGCAGTTCAGGCTGGCCTTGAGCTCACTTTATAGCCCAGGCTGGTCTTGAACTCGAAACGATCCTCCTGCCTCAGCCTCCCGAGTGCTGGGATCACAGGCGTGCGCCAACACCCCTGGCAACACTCACTTCTGGAGTATTCCTTGAACACACACACACACACATACACACACACACACACACACACACACACACACACAACTTCTCATCCTGGCTCCTTACAGGAAGCTAAGTTTGTGAGCTGGGTCCAGAACTCAGTGGCTTAGACACTCCACTCGACCTACAGACTGACAGACTGCCACCCTGCACCTCCCATGCACCCAGCCTGACCCTGGAGCACAAGGGCAAGGGGATCATGAACAGCAGGGAAGGGGCCTCTCATCCAGTCCTGCTCTTTTCTGCTCTCAGACAGGATCGGTGCTTCCTCCCCTCGGGTGGTGGGCGATGCCCGTGCCCGGGCTCTATGTGCAGACATGAAACGCTGCAGCTACTACGAGACTTGTGCGACCTACGGGCTCAACGTGGATCGGGTCTTCCAGGAGGGTGAGTGCGGCAATACCAGCGTATGTGGGAGTTGGGGAGCTGTGAGCCTGGAGTATTCTAGAGGCGCCGCATCTAAACCTGTCTGTGATAGGCCATTAGCCTCTGCGCAAGATCAGGGAGGCCTGAGAGGGTTTGCTTAATAGAAACATGGTCTCTCTCGGGGCTGCAGACACTGGCGAGCCCACAGCTGGCCTGGTGGCCAGTGATAAGGAAGCTGGGGCTTACGCTGTCTCCTGGGGCTTTCTCAAGCTGGGCGTGGAAGGTGGTCTTGGGTATCTGCCCTGTTCACGCCTGCTCCCTCTCCCCCGCCACTCAGTGGCCCAAAAGGTGGTGACCTTGCGCAAACAGCAACAGCTTCTGGCTGCCTGCAAGTCCCTGCCCAGCTCCCCGAGCCACTCAGCTGCTTCCACCCCTGTAGCCGGGCAGGTGAGTTGATGTTTCAGAGACAAAAGAGGAGCGAGGCTGGGGATCCAAACGCAGGTACGAAAGGATGCTGGAGGAGCTGGCAACCGGTGGAAATGGCAGGTAGTTTTTGTAGAAAGTGCATCGGGCTGAAAGTCACCCAGGTTTGAGATGCCCTTTGCAATGTCCTTGGACCAGTCCCTCAACCCCCAAACTTATCTGAAAGATGGTGTGGTACGATATTTGTAAAGTCCCTCTATGCAAAACTGAGAGCACTCTTGCCAGGTGTGGTGGTGCACGCCTGTAATCCCACCACTCGGGAGGCTGAGGCAGGAGGATTAGTGCAAGTTTGAGACCAGCCTGGGCTACAAAGTGAGCTCAAGGCCAGCCTCAACTGCATAGCGAGACCCTGTCTCAAAAAAAGACCAAAAAGCCCCACAAAACCTGAGAGCGCTCTAAACAATGCTGGTCAGAGTTTTCCTTATGCACGATAATGTCAGTGAATAGTGATGACCCCAGGGAATGTCGCCAATTCCCCATAACTGGGTGGAAAGGAAGCTTGGTGGAGGAGCGATCGCTCAACTCTGCCCGCTGTTCCTTGTCCCCAGGCTAGTAACGGGGGCCACACTAGCGACTACTCTTCTTCCCTTCCGTCCTCCCCCAACGTGGGTCACCGGGAACTCCGAGCTGAGGCGGCTGCAGTGGCTGGATTGAGCACCCCAGGATCTTTGCACCGGGCAGCCAAACGCAGGACCAGCCTCTTTGCGGTATTAAACATCCCCGCCCTCCTGTCCTGTGTTACCTGCCCACCTTCCCTAGTTCCCAGAGCCTCGGGCGGGCCTTCCTTCGTTTGTCCTTCCTGTGCTTCATCTGACGGATCCCAATAATGGTTCTAGAATCGTCGGGGTAGTGACTCTGAGAAGCGGAGCTTGGACAGCCGGGGAGAGACGACGGGGAGTGGGCGAGCCATCCCCATCAAACAGGTGAGTGGCCCCAGGCCAGGCAAGGCTGGGGTCAGCCGGGCTTAACTGCCTTGTCTGTCACATGTGTCTTTCCATATTCTAGAGCTTCCTGCTAAAGCGAAGTGGCAATTCCTTGAACAAAGAGTGGAAGAAGAAATACGTGACCCTGTCCAGTAACGGCTTCCTCCTGTACCACCCTAGCATTAACGTGAGTGGCAGAAAGCGGGCCACACGGCCCAGCCTTGGAAGCCCTTCCTGTTCTACCTTGCGCCTCTGACAAGCATGAGTATCACTTCCGGGAAGCTCTAGTCCTGTTCACTTAAGTTTAGCAAGCATGGTTTTTTTTTCTTTTCTTTGTGTGTGTGTGTGTGTGTGTGTGTGTGTAACTTTTTGAAGCAGGGTCTCGCTCTGCAGTTCAGGCTGGCCTTGAGATCACTTTGTAGCTCAGGCTGCTCTTGAACTCAGGACAGTCCTCCTGCCTCAGCCTCCCAAGTGCTGGGATTACAGGCGTGCGCCACTATGCCCAACTAGCCAGCATGTTAAGAGGCTACCATTTGTCAGTGCTGGGGATGTGAAGGTCACTTCATCTCCCCAGGAACTTAGTCTACTGAAACAGCACCCATTATATCCGGAGGTAATGCTAGGCTGAGCTTGATGGGCCCACCCCCAGAAGCTCACCCCAGCCCAGCCAGCACTCAGAACCCCATCCCATTCGATTTACTGCTTCCCAGCACCCTCAGAGACCCCAGCCTCCCATATACTCTCAACCCCTGTACCCCTCCAGGATTACATCCACAGCACCCACGGCAAGGAGATGGACTTGCTACGAACAACAGTCAAAGTCCCAGGCAAGAGGCCCCCGAGGGCCATCTCTGCCTTTGGCCCTTCGGCCAGCATAAACGGGCTGGTCAAGGACATGAGCACCGTCCAGATGGGCGAAGGCCCTGGTGAGTGGCGCTCGTGACAAAGGGGCAAGAGAGGAGCTGGGGCTGGAGAAAGGGGCGGGGAAGGAGTGAAACGGGGCTGGCACCGGCTAGGCGGGAAGGAGGGTGATCCAGGGGTCACGTATGCGAGGGGGCCAGGTTCACGGGGTTCATCTCCTTCCTCTTCTGACAGAAGCCACTATTCCCACACCAAGCCCCAGCCCCAGTTCCCTGCAGCCACCACCAGACCAGACATCAAAGCACCTGCTGAAGCCAGACAGGAATTTGGCCCGAGCCCTCAGCACTGGTCAGTGGGATTGCCCTCCACGCACTGTCTCCCACATGCAGTGGGGTGCTGGAGGCCGGGATGGGGCTCAGTGGTAGGGCGCTTGCCTGGCATGTGCAGAGCCTTGGGTGCAGTCCCCAGTGCCACAAAAAAAAAAAAAAAGAAAGAAAGAAAAAAAGGAGATAGAGAGAGAGGCGACTTACAAATGGAGTGTGGGTGGAAAGTGAAATCAAGGTGGAGGCTCGGAGCTGAAATACATGCCGGAGTGAACACATGGAGTGTCTGCTGGGTGCCCGGCACCCAGCCCAAACACACTGTCTGTCATGCTAGTTAAGGCAAGTGAGCTCCACAGCCAAGCTGCCTGAGCGTCCCAGCTCGCCTCGTGGGCAAGTTACTTGACTTCTCTTTGCCTCGGTTTCCTCACTGATAAAATGGAGACGGTAGTTTCTACCTCACAGGATTACTTCAGGCTTTAAAACAAACTGAGAACAGTGTCCAGCATTTTGTCAGCCGTCCGAGTTTGGAATGTTTGCAAATACATTAGCAAGTAGCATTGTAACAGCACAACCACCTTAGTGGGTCAAGATTATTATCCCCATTTTAGGGATGAAGAAACTGAGGCTCAGAAGACTTAAGTGACTTGCTCGAGGTCTGAAAGCCCGTAAGTGGGAGAGCCTGGATCTGAGTGCAGGTCTGACTCTAAACCACTCATCTGCCCCACCTCCCATCCCCAGGAATGATCCAAGGGGATCTCGTGGAGAGGGACAAAATGCCAAAGCTAGTTCAGGGGAAGAGACAGGCTATGGAGGAATCAGGAAATCTGAGGCAGCTGTGTCCCCCTCCCTAAGACTGTACCCCATCTGGAGACCTGAGCCCCCTGAGTCGGGAACCCCCGCCTTCTCCCATGGTGAAGAAGCAGAGGAGGAAAAAGCTGACAACACCATCCAAGACTGAAGGTGCAGCCGTGCAGGCTGAAGGTGAGACTCTGGCGGGCAGCTCCATGCCCGCCTGGACCCGCGTCCTAACCAGCGTCAGATCCCTGGCCTCCCTCCTGCAGCAGGAGGACAGCGCCTGAGCTCGGTGCTTGGCTGTCACTACCACTGCACACAAATTCGAGGAAAAGCGGACAGTCCTGCCTGGCCCCTGTCCTTCCCTGCTCCTCAGCCAGCGCCTGTACCCCAGCGGTCCCCTGCCCGTTCTCAGTGACACCCAGAAGTCTGTAGCTCCTGCTCCCTCTCCTGTCGACTCTGTAGTGCCCGTCCTGCACTCACCGCCACTTATGACCCCTGCACCCCCACCCCTGTGCCTCGTTCTCCGTCCACAAACGCCCTGACTCCTGGACTCCGGCAGCCCACCCTCTTCTCCCAGTAACTGGGTGATGGTCATTTCCTCAGCAATCCCTGACTACAGTAATCCCTGCGTTCCTGTCACCAGCCCAGGCCTCTGGGACTGCTCCTGAGCCCCAGGGCCCCCTCCTCCCAGCCGCCCCCGCAGCTCCGGTCTGTCCCCCATGTTCACTCAGACCCAGACTCTCCCACCTGCTGCAGAGACCTGGCTCCTCTCCCGGCGTGACAACCCCACGCCCCTGCTCTCTGCTGGGCGCTCAGACCCGGCTTCCAGATCTGCCTACTCTCACGGCTCTTGGCGTTCGCTCCACTCTGCCCCGGGGCCACTGACTTTAGTTCTGCTTTCTCTCCCCATCTGTCTGTCCTGCTTTGTCTCTGGCACTGTCCGTCACTGTCTCTCCATCTCTCCCTCTGCCTTTTCCGCCTCCTTTCTTGGTCTCTCTCTGTTTTGCTCTCCATTCTATCTCTGTCTCCTTCGCTTCGGGAAACCAGCCAAGCGCAAAATGTGGAAACTAAAATCCTTTGGTAGTTTAAGAAATATTTATAAAGCAGGTAACAGGTGGGGAGCTGGGAGGGGCGCTCAGCTGCGGTGCAGAGGGTGGGGGTGCCCCTGCCTCACCCTGCATGTGCTTGGGCTTCCTGCTGTCCCCGCCCTGTGCTCCCCCCCCACACTACTGCCCCATTCCCAGGGGCTCGGGCTGGACGTCAGGGAGGAAGGGCTTGGGGCAGGCAGCCCCTGCTCCAGCTCCGTCCCTCATGACCCCCTCCCGTCCCCCGCCCAGAGGAGAACTTTGAGTTCCTGATCGTGTCCAGCACTGGTCAGACATGGCACTTTGAGGCGGCCAGCTTCGAGGAGCGGGACGCCTGGGTCCAGGCCATCGAGAGTCAGATCCTAGCCAGTCTGCAGTGCTGCGAGAGCAGCAAGGTCAAGGTGAGGGTTGGAGGGGTTGAGGGGTGGGAGGAGAGCGGCGCGCCTGTAAGAGCAGGAGGAGGAGGGGGCCGCCCAGAGGGGCAGCCAGTGCTGACCCAGCCCCCTCTGCAGCTGCGCACAGACAGCCAGAGCGAAGCCGTGGCCATCCAGGCAATCCGGAACGCCAAGGGAAACTCCATCTGTGTGGACTGCGGGGCCCCCAGTGAGTGCAAGCGGGCAGCAAAGGCGTCTGGGAGATGGCACGGTGGGCTAGGGAGAGTGGGTTGCAGGAGTCGGTGAGTACGCGGGTCCGCCTGTCCGCGCTGCCCAGTGGCGAACCGACGCCCGCGCTCCGTCCCCAGACCCGACGTGGGCCAGCCTGAACCTGGGCGCGCTCATCTGCATCGAGTGCTCCGGCATTCACCGCAACCTGGGCACACACCTGTCCCGCGTTCGCTCGCTCGACCTGGACGACTGGCCGCGGGAGCTGACCCTGGTGCTGACGGCCATTGGCAACGACATGGCCAACCGCGTGTGGGAGAGCGACACCCGGGGCCGCGCCAAGCCCACGAAGGACTCCTCGAGGTAGCCGTGAAGGAACGTCTCGGGGGACCTGCGGCTCCCCACGGGGCCTGCGGGCGGGGCGCCGAGGTCCCGAGAGCCCTTTCACTTGGCTCCTTGTCCTGCAGGGAGGAACGGGAGTCGTGGATTCGCGCCAAGTACGAGCAGCTGCTGTTCCTGGCGCCGCTGGGCAGCACGGAGGAGCCGTGGGGCCGCCAGCTGTGGGCCGCCGTGCAGGCCCAGGACGTGGCCGCCGTGCTCCTGCTCCTGGCCCACGCGCGACACGGGCCGCTCGACGCCAGCGGGGAGGACCCGCAGCTGCGCTCCCCGCTGCACCTGGCGGCCGAGCTGGCCCACGTGGTCATCACGCAGCTGCTGCTG